GGTCAGGTTCCAGGGCTGTAGCACTTGCCCCTATCTCCGGATGCCTGTGTCTCCAGTTGAGTTAATTGGTTACAAGCAGTAAATTTAAACAAGTAAATTCAAGCAGTAAATTCAGACAAGCAGTGTATTCAAACAAGCAGTAAATTCCTCTTTCCCTAACACCTCCACCTGTGGAGAGTGCTTAGTGTACTGTGCTGTGAGTTGTTTTCTGGTTCAGCTGTTGAAGATGTGATACTTATACTCCATGAGCTTTAGTTCCCGTGTATCTGTAAAATGCTAGAACACAAAATTTTCTCTCTTCATACTGTTACTGTTCTGTGAAGTCTCATTCTTTTTCCTTTTTCTTCTTTTTTTTTTTTTCTGAAAGAGTTTAATATAGCTTAGGGTGGCCTTATTCCTGATTCTCCTGTTTCTACCTCCCAAGTGCCAGGAGTACAGGCTTATACCACCATGTCCAGTTTTTTGATTGATTGATTGATTGCTACTGTGCTAGGGATTGAATCTAGGTCCTCACACATTCTGGGAAAGTGTTCTACCACTGAGCTTTATTCCTAACCCATTCTGTCTTTAGTGCCCAGAAATCTTGTTCCTTAGCTGCCAGGCCCTTCCTGTCTCTGCAGAGAGCCCACGGAGCAGGGGCGTGTTACACTGTCTGCTTGCTCCTGTTCCTCTGAGCCGATGATGGATCTCGTGGAGGCCACTTCTATTAGAACTTTTGCACATATCCTCTTTCCCTATTAGGTAGGATAAGGTTAAAAAAAAAAAAAAGATGAAACAAAGGAAAGACTTATTAAATTCCCAGTGCCCAGTAGTTGTCTGGTTCCCTGCCTTCCCATTCCATTCCTGATTTTCAGCAGTGACAAGGAGCCTGGGTGTTCCTGTCCTGTCTGGGGTCCAGCCTGGGAGATGTTTCCTGGGTGTTCTCATTCTTATTTGGACTCTGAATACATGTGTCCGATGTAACTTTATCTTCCATGATGCTCAGGAGGAAGCTTTAGCTTTTTAAAAATGAACTTCAGTTTTATTGCAGAATGTTTCCTAGACCAAACTAGAGTTTTCACCAAGACCTTTTGTGTAATTTTTATGAGAAATTATGCTGTTTTCGGGATAGCTAGCTTTTATAAACAAGTTATTCACAAATCTGTATTTACACTCTTGTATAATAAATGAAACAGCTCTACTGGGTTGAGTAGAGATTATCTGTAGTGCTTTCCCTGTGGAATTTATGTATGAGTGTGTGTGTGTGTGTGTGTGTGTGTGTGTGTGTGTGTGTGTGTGTGTGTAGGGAGGGGACAAGGGAGAGAGAGAATTGCAAAATGTGATGGAAGGCAGTATTATGTTAATTGATGCCTTCCCTTTGCTTAGAAGCCTTAAAACCAAGAGGTCTGGAAGTGATAATTAAGCAACAAAAATGTGCTACTTGTGCACTTAGAATTTTTCACTGAGTATGACCAACTTTTGTCCACCCACCCTTATTTAATCTTTCATATATCCTTGGGCTTGTGCGCTTAAGGCCAGTAAATATTGTTAATAGCTGTAGCTGATTTTGCTGTTTGTTTATCATAAAGGATGGGTACTACCTAATTTTACGAAATTATGTAGGGTCTTTGTTAATCTACTGTGCATTTTGCTCTGCATGTTTCTATAGGAAAAGCTTTCAAAGGACATTGATTTCCTTATTGGTAAGGAAAGCCAGGTGAAGAGTCAAATTTCTGAACTGAGCTTGTTGATAAAAGAAACAGAGGTAAGTCATAAACTGGCTTGTACATTGTTCATCTATTCATCTAGACATTAGCTTATTTGCTCATAAAATGTGTAGTATGTTCTCTGAGCTGGGGATACCAAGTCGTGTGAGCTCTCATTCCTGCCCTTCTGGAACTGTGGAAACAAATACAAAGAATAAAATGCTGTGTAATCAGTGCTGTGGCAAAGATCAAATGATGTTGGGACCCAGAGAAGGAACAACTAACTTTATGTGACAAATATCGAGCTTTCAAAAGTCATAAGGGAAGGATAGCTTTTAACAATAACCTGCATTTGAACAAGTGAACAGATTGCCTTTGAAAGATGAACTGTATGAAAATAGGAACAGGTTTATTGAAAATTCCAGATATTCCTGAGTGTATGCTCTGCATGTGCTTACAGAAAGACATGTCTGAGACTGGGTGGGCACATGCCTTTAATCCTAGCATTTGGGAGGCAGAGGCAGACAGATCTCTGTGAGTTCCAGGCCAGCCAGGGATACATAGTAAGGCCCTGTATCAAAAGAGGAGATATGTCTGAATGTTCTTGCCTGTCTTGGTTATAAGAGTCATGAAGTAGGAACAAGCCAGATGCCACGCCATCAGCAATGGAATACAAAAAACAGTAAGACTATTTGCACTAGAGTTATACACAGCAGTGTAGATTGACCCTGCCCATCACATGATGACATTTATAAAAAGTACTCCAACTGTGAAACCAGAGGATGATTTTCAAATTCAGAAAGTTATCCTGTGCCGCAGAGGCTGAGTGTGCCTTATGGCATACCAGTAATGCTTTTAATCAAATGTTCTAATGGGTGCTGGATGTGTGTGTGTTTAGAGTCCATCTTATGCTTGCGTGTGCTTGTTTCTCTTTGTATATTATACTTGGGATAAAAAAGGAAAAGTAAGCTGAGCATGACCGTTCACACCTGTGTAATCCTAAAACTTGGGAGGTAGAGACAGGAGGATCAGGAGCTCAAGGCCAGGGTCAGAATTGGCTGTGTATTGAGTTCAAGGACTACATGGACTGTAGAAGATCCTGTCTCAAAAATAAAACAGAGCTGCACAGATGGCTTATTGGGTAAAGGTGCTTTCTGCCAAGCCTAATTGCCTCAGTTTGCTCTCTGGAGCCCATGTGGTGGAAAGAGAGAACCAGTCTCAAAAGTTCACACACACACTACACACACAGTAAATAAAATGTAAAAATAATAAAAACATAGCATTTTAAAAATATAGTTGTGGGTAGGACTGAGTTATTTAACAATTCCAAATATTTTTCACAGGCTTTGATGTGTACTTATTACTTTTGTTTTTATTATTTTTTGTTTTTTCTCTTGATGACTTTAAAATGTATAATTAAATAGGAAAAGATTTGACTGTTATTTCTTTCTTTGTTTTTGAGACAGTCTCCCTGTAGCCCCAGCAGGCTTGTAACTCCGTATGTAGACCAGGCTGGCTGGCCTCCATTTTAAGAGTTCCGCCTGCTTCTGCCTCCCCCATGTTGGGATTAAAGGTGTGTGCCACCACGCCCAGCTAAATTAAATATATTTTTAAAAGTTTAAAAATTTTAAAAATTATTCAGTACACAAAAGTGGGACTGGTGGGGTTAAAAAGTGGAAAAGGGACCCTGAATCCATTCCTTTCGGGTGCTGGCCAGAAGTCACTGGGAGTCCCAGTGTGCCTCTGCCCTCAACTGTCAACGCTGAGAGTGTTCTTAGAGACTTTTCTCTAGGTCTGCTGCAATAGCACTTGTTGAGTACTCACTAACTTGTTTTCAAAATCATATTGCCCTTTAATTTTAGAAAGTCAAAATGTTTGGGCCAAGATGGTGACAGAGGCCTGTAATCCCAGCACTAGAGAGAGTGGGGCAGGAGGATCAAGAGTGAGGCCAGCCTGGGTTAAGGAGACCTTATTTCAGACAAAAAACACCAAGTTAAAATGTTTAAAAGGCAGGGCTTGAGAGATGGCTCAGTGGTTAAGAGCAGTGACTGCTCTTGCAGAGGACCCAGGTTTGAGTCCCAGCACCTACCTGGCGGCTACGACTGTCCTTAACTCCAGTTCCAGGGGAATCCGAAGCCCTCTTCTGACTACCTCTGCATTGCACGATACGAGAAGGTTCTCTCCCTTTGCAGTGGTGTTCTTTGGAGGAGACAAGGTAGAAGTGAGGACATAGGGGACACTTTCACTTTCCTTTACACACTTTTTTTGGTCTTTTTTTGAGACAGGGTTTTTTTGTAGCCCCAGCTGGCCTGGAACTCATGGAGATCTGCCGCCTCTGCCTCCCGAGTGCTGGAATTAAAGGCCTGTGCCACCACGCCCGGCTAAATTAAATATTTTTTAAAAAGTTTAAAAAGCATTATAGATAGGATTATTTTATAAAAGGTAGAAAAATAGTGATGTATACAATAAGAATGTTTAGAGTATGTGATTATGGTATGCTTTTTATGTAAATAATGTGTGTTAATTTTACAAGAACTTGGTTTCTGTTATTCACAAACTTTTTAGTCAGGAAGGAGAATTATAGGAAGTGAACCAAGAACTCATGTTTAGCTCCAAATGTAGCCTACAGTCATGTGGCTGAGTCTGTGTTAAATTAATTTGAAATCTCCCTTCCTTCCTTCCTTCCTTCCTTCCTTCCTTCCTTCCTTCCTTCCTTCCTCCCTTAATTTTGGATTTAGTTCTCTCCTTCCACCTTTACATGGGTTCTGAGGATTGACCTAAGGTCACCAGATTTGCACACCACATGCTTTACCCACCAAACCAGCTTGCTGGCCCACAGTGTGCTATCTTTATATTTGTTTGTTTGTTTGTTTATTTGTGTCTGTATATTTTTGACGGGGTCCCCTGTATTTCAAGTTGGTCTGGAACTTGCTATGTAGACTAGGCTGGCCTCAATCACACAGAGATCCACCTGCCTCTGCCTCTCAAATGCTGGGGTTAAAGTTGTGTGGTACCACACCTGGCAATTTGAAATATCTTTATAAAAATAACTTTTTAAGTTCTCTGGCTGTAATTTAAATTTAAATTTATAGTATAGAAAGTGTTAAATTTCTTGAATTTGGAATGAATTCCAAATGCCCTAGAATAGTGTTTTTCTATGTGTGTGATTAAATTTCTTCATTCCACTCTGAATTCTCTCTCTGTCTCTCTCTGTCTCTCTCTCTCATTGTGTAGACCAGTCTGGCGCTGAACCCAGAGATCCACCTGCCTCTGCCCCCCGAATAGTGGGATTAAAGGTGTGTGCCACCACGCCTGACTGAATTCTTTATTATATCATTGAAAATTGTTTTCTCTAAATAATTTGTTACTGGATTTTAAGAAAGGCACAATGTTTTGAAATGACAAAGCAAGTCTAAATGAAAGTTGTCTGTTCTTTGTTGTTTTTAAGAGATTTCTGGTTCATTAAAACCGTTTCTTTACGATACCTGACTTGTTTTGTTAAATTTTGATACTTTCATCATCACCCAAACAAATTGTGGTGTAGAACTCTTTTCACTGAGAGTTTTCAAGATCTGCATTGGATCTTGCAGCTGCGGTCATGCTTGTTTGTTTTACTTCAGTGCAATGGAGAGCGGGCTAAAGAAGAAGCGCTTGCACATTTCCAGAAGCTCTTTGAAATTCTTGAAGACAGGAAGTCATCTGTTGTGAAAGCCATAGATTCCTCTAAGAAACTTAGAGTAGACAAATTCCACACTCAGATGGAAGAGTATCAGGGCCTTCTAGAGAACAACGGGCTTGTGGGATATGCCCAAGAAGTGCTGAAGGAGACGGACCAATCTTGCTTTGTACAGACAGCGAAGCAACTCCACCTCAGGTATTCCACTTTGCACTTTCCAGTCTTGTCCACAGCGTCATTCAGTGCGGCTTCAGCCCTGGGTCGTTCAGGATGTATTGTTGAGCAGTCTGGGCTTGCTTCATTCCCAGTGCTGAGTGAAATACAGGCCTTATTCATCGCCTTGCAGATGTTTGGTTTAGTCTTAATTTGCCTTTTTTTTTTTTGTCTTTTTGAGACAGGTCTCCCTGTAGCCCCAGCTGTCCTGGAACTCACTATGTAGACCAGGCTGGCCTTGAACTCACAGAGCCTGCCTCTACCTCCCAAGTGCTGTGTCTACAGGAGTGCACTACCATGCCCGGCTTCTTTTTTGCTTTTTTAAAAGAATTGTTTTTATATAAAATGTATCTGTCTACAGAATACAGAAGGCTACAGAGTCTTTGAAGAGCTTTAGACCTGCAGCTCAGACTTCTTTTGAAGATTATGTTGTTAATACAACCAGACAAACAGAGCTTCTTGGAGAATTGTCCTTTTTCTCTAGTGGTAAGTTGTGGAAGCAAAGCCTCGCTCTTAGTCTGAATGTACAGGAAATGCATTCCGTACCCTTTGCCATCATAAAGTTACCCAGGATCATCATATTCTAAAATCACAGCCCATTTGTTTTGAGGACTGTTTTTCTGCACAAAACTATATTCTTGGCTTTTTAAATTTTGCATGTGTGACATCACATTGTATCCTGTTACTTATTTTAAATATTTTATTATTTTTCTTTTATGTGTACGAGTGTGTTGCCTTCATGTATGGAAGTGCACCCGTGTCATGCAGTGCCGTCGGAGGTCAGAAGATAGTGTTGGAACCACAGGAACCGGAGTTATGGACAGTTGTTAGCCACAGTGTGGGTGCTGGGATTCAAACCCAGGTCTTCTGCAAAAATAGCCAGTGCTCTTAATTGCTGAGCCATGTCTCCAGCCCCAACTGATTTTTTTTTTAAATGAAGCTTAGAATATTATTATGTGAAATTTGGTTTAAGCTAGTATAATATTTCTGTCTTTTTTTTTTTTTTTTGGCTTTTGAACAAGGGTCTCTGTGTAGCTCCAGCTGGCCTGGAACTCAATATGTAGACCAGGCTGGCCTTGAACTCACAGAGGTCTTATTCGGATTAAAGCCTAAAGGTGTGTGCTACCACACCTGGCAACTGTATGGTGTTTCACAAGTAAATATTTTCCTTGCTGAGAGGCAATTAGTTTCTTTCTGTAGGCTAAAATGGACAGGAAGGTGATTAAGTAAGTGTCTACAATGCTCTGTTAGTGTGCTAGGGGTGTGGTAATAGAAGCATAGTCTGCATGGCTTGAACATGGTAGACATTTCTCATAATTCTGGTGGTTAGAAGCCTAAAGATGGTGATATTCCTCCCAGACCTCTCTCCTTAGCTTCCCCTGTGGAGGCCAGAGGTCAACATTGTGTGTCTTCCTTAGTTGTTCTCTGCCTTATTATTTTTGAGACAGTTTCTCACCAAACCTGGAGCTTCCTGATTTGGCTAGAGTATGTGACCAGCTCTGGGGTCACAGATACGTGCTGCTGCTGCCCAGCTTTTATGTGGGTGCTGGTGACACAAACTCAGGTCTCATGCTTGGATGACAAGCACTTCCTCAGCTTCCTTGCAGAAATATTTGTTTAAATTAAGAGAAACTCTTGGCTTTGCAATTCTACAGAAGAAAATATGAAAAGAAATTATGTAATGCTTATTAGAATTTGAAAAAGTCACCAAAGTTTTTTAGATATTAAAATAGTAGCTTGTTCATATAAATATAGATAATTCAACTTCCTTGCTGTTACTGTGTGGAAAGTGTGTGGTTAAAATATAATTTTGCTGGGTGTGGTGGCGCATGCCTTTAATCCCAGCAGGAGGATCTCTGTGAGATCTAGGCCAACCTGATCTACATAGCAAGTTCCAGGCCAGCTTGGACTAGAGGGAGACCCTGTCCCAACAACAGAAAACCTTCCTCCCAAAAAACCTCCAAAATATAATTTCCAGTATCTTAATATTTATATTACTTAACGCTGTAATCAAATCTTAATTTTTATGTCTTATTTTTTACTTTCCCATTTCAATTATAATTACAAACTTACATTATTTTGTATTTAATACTTTTATACATAGTACTACAAATTTTAGAAATTTCTCGGACACTATAGAAATTGCCAATATATCATTTTTACTTAGGAAAAAAAATCTACATTTTGAAATCTGCATATTTTACCATTGTTCTCTATTTCATAATTCTTTCAGGCATAGACATTCCTGAGATTAATGAGGAACAGAGTAAAGTTTACAATAACGCCTTGATAAATTGGCACCATCCAGAAAAGGATAAAGCTGATAGCTATGTTCTTGAATATCGGAAGATAAATAGAGATGAAGAAATGATGTCGTGGAATGAGATGGAAGTGCACAACACAAGTAAAGTTGTATCCAATCTTGAAAGCAACTCTCACTATGCTTTCAGAGTGAGAGCGTATAAGGGTTCCATCTGCAGTCCCTGCAGCAGAGAGCTGATTCTGCATACTCCGCCAGCTCCAGGTACTAGAATACTGGAATGGGAAAAGCAGAGGGGAAGGGTACACTGGCAGCATCTCCAAGTGGACCTATGAGAAGCCAGCCTTTGCTTTCAGGATCCCAGACAAGTGGATTCCAGACCCAGCTAGGATTTAGAGGTGAACTGAATACTTGATTTAGAGATGAACTGAGAGTACTTGAATTTCACCTCATAGACTGAGAAGAGGATTCGATTTTGACTGACATAGACAAAAAGAAGTAAAAGGCATTTGAGTGATTGGGGCTAAGTTGGGATCGAAATGAAATAAATGCTACCTTAGATATTTAAAATAACATGATTCTAGGATATTTTTGGTCAGTTAGTAGGAATGTCTAAAATATAGGCTATTGATAGAGATTTAAAATTCCCTGGTACAATATGTTGATATTTAATTTTGATTTAATCTAAGTCTGGCTCACTTAGGTTTTCTGTCTGAGCGTGAGTCTCTGTGGAGGGTGGAGGGCATATATTAGACCCACAGGGAAAGCTTTCCCTTGTTCTGTTTCACTGCCTCTCCTTCCAAGTTCAGGTCAGACATTATCAGATTCTGAAGAGCTTCACAGAAGGGGAAGGGTATGAAGGGCACTTGATGTCTACTGCAGTGTCTATAGATGAGAACTAAAGTTGTTCTCACCAGAAAGAAGGTCTGCCCATATGTGGGGACTGGGTTTAGCTTGCTCACAGCCATCTTTCTAAGTTGTTGGATAATATAGATGGAAGCTACCATTTTAACTGTACAGTCTCAGTATATGCAGCCATCATCACTCACATCACCAGGAATTTTACATTCTACCTGAAAACCTATCCGTTAAATAACTCCTCTCTCCTGTGGTCGCCAGATAGTCAAATGCATAGACAGAAAGAATAGAGGATACCAGTGTCTATGAAGAGAGGGGATGAGGAGTTGTATTGTGTATCACAGTTTCCCTTCATTTAATTCTTGATAACATTCCACTATAGTGCATATACCATATTTTCCTTGTCCTTTATTCTGTTGATGGACATTTTTATTGTGTCTGCATTGGCTAGCTCATATGCTTAGTATAGTTAACGATATCTTGTAGGTGAGGAAATCAAAGTTTAGGTCAAACTCTTGTTAGGTTTGAACGGGGATGCAGACCTCTCTGAACTAAAAACCCATGCTGTTTTCTTTTCTCTACACTGCCTGTGTCTCATAGCTGGCATGTTTGTTGATAAGGAAAAGATCTTATAAATTCTCAAATTTACAGAATTTGGAATATTACAAATATTACAGGTATTTATAAGCATTCACTACCACTTAAGGATAAAGAATGCTTGGAGGGGGTGAGAGAATTTTTAGAGGTCTTTTTTTCTGATATCTTAACCACATTTACCTCACTAAGGTTTCTCTAAAGTGATGTTGAGCCAGCACAGTCTAGGGGCTGGAGAGAAGGTTCAGCAGTGAAAAGTGCATACTGCTCTTGCAGAGGGCCAAAGTTTAGTTCCTAGTACTCACATTGGGTGACTCACAACCACCTGGAACTCTAGTTCCAGAAGATCCAACACACTCTTCTGGCCTCCATGGGAACCTGTGCACATACCCACAGAGAGACCACACATACACATAATTACAAATAATAAAAATAAATCTTTTAAAAAGAGAATGGATATGAACATTCTACGTGCAGTAATTAATATCTCTAATCCAAAGATGTATATTCATAAATTTTATATACATTTAAGACATTTTCTTCTGCTTTTGATATGTCTGAAGATTTTCAAGTATAGGGAATATGCTGGAAGTTGAGGTTCTGATTTGATATAGTTGGGTAGTCTGACACCTTCTATTTTGCATCTCCTCAGTAATTTCTATTATAAAAAAAATCAAATTTTGGCCTTACATTTTAGAAATGCTAGTAGCTAATGTTCAGACTAGTTTAAGACTAATATTAACCATTTAGTTTTCAGTTTCCTGTTTGATGAAAAATGTGGCTATAATAATGAACACCTGTTGCTGAACTTGAAGCGAGACCGGGTGGAGAGTAGAGCTGGATTTAATATTCTTCTTGCTGCGGAACGTATCCAAGTGGGCTATTATACAAGCTTAGACTACATCATTGGAGATGTTGGAATAACGAAAGGGAAGCACTTCTGGGCCTGCCGTGTGGAACCATATTCATACCTGGTAAAAGTGGGAGTTGCTTCCAGTGACAAACTCCAGGAGTGGCTGCGGTCTCCTCGGGATGCAGCTAGTCCAAGGTAGATCTAGATTATTGGGATCTTTGATTGATCTGGAACATAATAACTCTTTTAAAAGTAAATACCTGTGAACATAGACCTGTGCTTATTCATTACACTTAGAATGTACGTTTCTTAGATTCAGGTGATTAGCTCTGATAGAGTGGCTGACTTAGAAAAGGAGTCAGGTTGTCTTGAATAATTAGCAAATAAGTTTTGATGTTATGAGGAAGTCAGTCTGTTTTGAATTCCTCTTGATTATGATACAGCTTCACAGCTTAAACTTTGAAGGTTTCCCATAGTGCCTAATTACAGGTTAAAAAATACCTACATATATAGTGAAATGCCTTTAATTGCCTATTTCACAATTTTTTAAAATCAAGTTGTAGTTAACACAATTTCCTTAAACTTTCCCATATGTTCTTTTACAAAATTTGGTCATGTTAGACAGTTTCTTCAGGAAATCTTTATGAAACTGAATAATGGAGATTTTTACTTTCATTTCTTTAGATGGGATAAGATGAACTGATTTAGACACATGCACACACACACACACACACTCACCATTTAATCTGAATGGTTTCACAGATTAGCATTCTGAATGATAAGAAAAAGATTTTGCACAAATAATTAATTTACATAATAACAGATTATCATAGGGAAGCAGTTAATTAAACATAATGGCATGCTCACTTGGTAAAATATTGGTGTTGGCATTTAAAGAGTTGATAGCATGAGAAATACTAGAAGCCAGAAGAAGCACTGATTAAAGTTGTTGATGCAGTATGATTCCAAATAGTTAGAAGAAAAGCCATACATAGGGGAAAATGAGAGGATTGTCTAGCAGAATTTTCTGTGTTAATGTTTCATAGAGGGAAAAACACTTCATTATTCTTTCTTGATGGGGAGATCCCAATGAGGAAATAGCATTCTCAGGAGGAGGAGGAGGCATGCTTTTATAAAACTCTTGCATTCTTTGAGTGCCCAGTTATTTTACTTAGCCTGATAATTTCATGGATGAGGGCATGGACCTTTGTACTTTCTCAAATACCATTGTGTTTCATTTACTCTCAGACCACGCCTATCACTCTCCTCTGATTTAGTTTTGGAAGAGCGACATTGTTAACGAATTTTTAGGTTCCCATTTGTTCATGTATTGAGGTAAAAGTAGATGGTATGAAGGTAATTTAAGTATGTAGTACAGTTCTAAATGACAATTTATATTCTATACTTTGATTGTTTTAACAGAACACTTCTGTGTATGCTATTTTAACTTTAGAACAGTCTATGTTTTGTGAAAATGTGTGGAAGTTGCTTGGTGACCGGATGGAGAGACAGATTGTGTTTGTCTTCTAGGTATGAACAAGACAGTGGGCATGACAGTGGAAGTGAAGATGCCTGTTTTGTTTCTTCACCACCTTTTACATTAGTTACTATAGGCATGAAGAAATTTTTTATACCCAAGTCACCTACTTCTTCTAATGAACGCGAAAATAGAGTTCTTCCCATGCCAGCAAGTATCGGGATTTTCCTTGATTACGATAAAGGCAAAGTGAGCTTCTACGATACGGATGGGATGAAATGCCTCTATGAGCGCCAAGTGGACTGTTCACATACAATGTATCCCGCATTTGCGTTAATGGGCAGTGGAGGAATTCAGCTTGAAGAACCCATCACAGCAAAGTATCTGGAATATGAAGAGGACGTGTAGCTTGAGCATCCCATGTTACTCGGATGGAAAGTGTGAAAAACCAATGCCTAGGTGTTAACCTTTGTAACCAATTACATATGGTTTTCGTCTTCTGTCACCACATTTGGTTTTGGTGTGTGATTGTTTTGTTTTGTCCTGGTTTGCTCTGACCCAGGGTCTTGCTACCCAGGCCTTGAACTCTGTCATCCTGTCCTAGCCTCCTGAGTGCTGGGATTATAGGTGTGTACCACCACACCCAGTTAAGAGTCAGATTCTTAAAAATATTGTAAACCTGAACAACCTTGAGTCTTCTGCCTTTCCCCGGTGGTGGGAGTGAAGACTTTCCTACTTAGTACTGAATGGTTAAATTTGCAACTGGATTGCCTTTCTCTTTGGGAATCTAATTTATTTAAGTCAGCAGTGTTGCTGTTATTTACATTTCTTTTTAGGGTTGAGAGGATAACATTATTTATTATGTTTCTTTATGTTTGCTTTATTTCATTTTTATCATGTTCACGTCCAAAGAGAAAATATTTTTAAATGTCTATTGATGGAAACTAGTACTAAGCCCATGTCTTGCATTTGTTAATAGGAAAATAAAGTTGTAGATAGGTAAAATGACAAAGGCCATAAAATGGTAGTATATTTAAGTAGAAAATTATGTATTTTAAAGTGTGTGACTATTAAGAGTATATTGCCTGGAAAACAAATACCACTCTTTTTAGACCACAAACTGTATTGGTCAGGAATCTTCCTGTTGTTGTGGTGCCCATTGTCTGACATGTAGCAGGCATGGTGTCCTAGGAAGCATTAAGGTTCTTGAACCCATGCAACTTTTCACTACATTATAATTTTTTTCAGGAAGTTTTATCTTCAGACTTTCTTACAATAGAAAATAACTTGTATTTATAACAAAGAATTATTTTTCAGAAATATTAACTGAAGATGGACTGATATCAAAGTCATATCTTCTTGTGTCTTGTGGGTTTTATTTTTTGGCACAAATAATACATTTTGGATTTTTCTGATTTCTGTTTACACGTTCTGAGAAGTTCATTACCTGTTTCTAGCAGCTTTAAAATATCAGATGTGTTACTGTTCAATTGTGTGGCATTTTCTGTGGCTCATTGTGTGGTAATAAGCATTTGTAATGTAAATCAGTAAAAATACAAAGTTAATTCTTTAGGAATAATAGCTAAAGTCAAAAGAATTGTACCCTTTGAAAAGTTGAGTTTTTTTTTCAACTTGAAGAATTACACTAAATTGGGTTTTTGTTTTTTTTTTTGAGTTTATTATCATCACTGGCCTATAGCTCTCTGCTTCTCCATACTGCGGTGTGTACCATTCCTCCAGAAACTGTCAGTTTGTTTTTGAGAAATCTTGGGGATGTGTGTATTTGAAAGATCATCTTCTAGATACCTAAATCATCTTTTCATTAGATGATTTTAATTTACACAGTCTTTTTAAAGATTAAAATGCCCAGAAACGAGGAGCTATGCATTTAGTACTAATCTCTAATGGAATGTTATTAGTATTTTAATGGAGTAACCACAACTTTTGCAAGATTTATTTTTTGTTATTTTTGTTATAGCTTTTAGGCCAGTCACATTGCATTAGACCCACCTCTGCCTCCTCAAGTACAAATATCATAGAGAATTTGCGTTTAGTACTTTCCCATTTATATACAGCACTTTATGACATAGGAAACCAAGCACATGTGCAGTGTTATGTGAGTCATTGTGCAATAAAGCTGCTGAGGTCACGTATATTCAGTCTGATACTCTCAAGTCTTGTGTAAGCACATGTTCTTGTAGACATTTTAAGATAAAAGCTTTAAGAGGAATAGAAAAGAAATCTGTTTTGAACATTGTATCATTGTATATAAATTATTCAGTGGAATACCTTTCATTTTTAATAAAAACTAAAAGGAAGTTAAGTGTAATTATTTAAGTCTTCACTCAGGAAATTTTACTATACTTTGTGGAAAATTGAAGCAAATTAAAAGATGCTTAGCTGCATATATTAAAGTTTTATACAGAATCATTTTAAGCATTTACTTAGATTTAATTCTTGTGGAAGTTGTTAGAAAAGATAAATATGAAGCGAATTTTAGTTGTCTTAATTATTTTGTCTAATATTTCTTTTCTAATACACAGTAGGTAACATTTTGATCAAATGAGTGGTCCTTTCATGCATATGCATCTTCTTATGTGATAAGGTTTGGTTAATTGTGGTCAGTGGTGGATTACAGTGAATTTTTGCTAAGGCTGAATGGGTCTTAATTTTTTTTTTTTTTTTAATAGGATTCACTGGGGTCTGGCAGTGCAGACGTATAATCCTAGCTACTGATGTGGTAGATTCAGGAAGAGCTCAAGTTCAAGGCTTTTCTGGGGTACAAATTGAATTCAAGGCCAACCTGAGTAACTTAGTAAGGCCCTGTTCCAAATGAAAGAAAAGTAAAACAAAATATCTGGGGCTTTAGCTCAGTGGCAGAAGCCCTGGGCTTGAACTACAGCACCAAAATAAAAAAAAATAAAAAAAGAAAAAAAGAAAAAGTAGATTCAAGGCTCTCCCTATGAGATGGTACAATAATTAATATATTCACAGTTGCTTTCTTGAAAGTAGTAAGCCCCACAGCTATCTCCTTTTGGGATAGAACATAATCTGGGCCTGTTAAATCTTTTTGTCAGGGCCATAATCTGATGGGACCCTAAGAATATGCCCCATATGGGAGTATATTCAGTATTACTGCCATCAAAGAGAATGGAGAACTAGTATTGTAGGTTTAAGACGTTATGTTGTATTAGATTTGTATTTGTTTTGTTTTAATTATTTTTATTTTATGTGTATGAGTGTATTGTCTGCATGTAAGTGCACACATGTTGTGCAGTGCCTGCAGAGGTCAGAAGAGGGTATCAGATCCCCTGAAACTGGAGTTATAGACAGTTGTAGCTGCTATGTAGGTTCTGGGTATCGAACCCGGGTCCTCTGTAAGAGCAGTACATGCTCTTAACTGCTGAGCCATCTCTCCAGCCCCAAGATGTTATGTTTGTCAGATGTTTGTCAGGCAGATTTGTATTTGTTTTTAAAGTAACTTTTTATCTGTTGATTTGTGAAAATATCTTGACAATTGAGGTTTTTTCCTTGGGATTCTTTTTTTTTTTTAATTTTTAATTACATGATTAGAAGACACATTCATTACAGCTTTAACATATTCAGTAACACATTCCAGAGCAAGATTACATCTCTTTCACAAGTGGCTGTAAGTTTCTAGGTTCACAGTTGAATTAATAGTTATACAATATTGAACTCAGTATAAGCCCTGTAAGACATAAACTTGATTTTTAACCTTTAAAAAAGATCCCCATTTCATATTAGAATGTATTGTTCCTTGCAGAAAGACTCATTGTTTTTGCTATTAACACTGAGATGTTGGCGCGTGCATCTCTAATCTGTATGTATCTGATTGTTACTAGAAATAATTGGTTGCCCTTGGATCCTTGGCGCCTGTGTGTCTATAAAAACATCAGGTAGATTTCAATAGTAATGTTTATCACCTCTACTAATTAACATGATGTAAATTTCCATGCTTCCTCCTCAAATATAATTTACTTTTTAAAATTTGATTTTCTGTGGGTGTGTGTGGGTGTATCACACAGAACACCCCAAACCATCTTATTCAACTATACACCCATGTATTAGTTAGGGTTCTCCAAAGAAACAGAACCAGTAGAATGAATATATATATATATATATGTATAGAGATTTATCAGCTTAGCTCACAGGATAGTGTCCAAGTAGTCTAACAATGGCAGCACCACACTGGAGAGGCTGAGAATCCGTACTCGCTCAGTCCACGAGGCTGGATGTCTCAGTAGTCCCAATCTGGTGCTGAAGGTCTGACGAATTCCAAAAGATCAGCTAGTCTTCAGTCTACAGCAGCAAGATGAACTCACCAGCGAGAGAGAAGGCAAGCAGCAAGAAGCCAGGTGTTCTCCTCTGCCTTGGCCTTTTATATGGGCTGCCATCAGAAGGTAACACCAACATTTAGGATGTAGTCTTCCAGCTTCAGATGATCCAATTAAGAAGATCTCTTTCATTTCAGTTAATCCCAAATCCAGTCAAGTTGACACCCAGGATTAGCCATCACAAGTGCAGCCCTTGTCACCTTGACACCCAATAGCATCTCTTTATGTCATGCTTAATTTTCAAATGAAAACAATGTTGAGGTCATAATTTCACCTAACATGAGATAACTATCCCATCATACAATGACCAATGCATTATATATCTTAGAGTAAGTGATAAGGTCTTCAAGGAATGCTTAGTCCTTTAGTGTCTCATAGCCCAGTATAATCATAGAGGTTCACAACACTTAACCACTTAACACATCTGAATTACACATTCAAAAATGAATAACTCAAGTATCCGGTTAACGTGTGTACACATGCACAAGCTTATTCTTAACCAAATAGGACAAAAAACTCATGTCAATTACAATCCGTTTCGGCAACTGCTCACGTGGCCTAAGTTGGTATTTGTAACTACCTTCCTCTACTATCCAGTCTGTATTTCCTCGACCATCAGCAAGCACCTCTACAGGTCTTGGCTCTTTCCCTGGAATACTGATCCATACTTTCATCCCTGAAGGGTCTGGGCCATTTGTTGTCCTGTCTGGATTGGGTTGTTGCAGTTTCCCTTTGACCTTAATCACAGGTCATGGTGACACCGAAAGTCACCCTAAGGAATCTCCTACCTTCCAGATATAATCTCCATTACCTCCATTGTGGAGAACCAGTCCAATTTCCCTCCTAATACTGTTATTCCTTTCTTAGCCTGCTGACTTAAGGGCATCAGAAGGCCAATGTGTCCAGAGGGAAGTCTTAGCTTCCAGTTCAAAGGAATGTTTGTTGTCTCTCCTGGCAGAAGCACTCCCTCCTCTGGAACCAAAACATCCAAGCCAGTAGAGTGCAAAGTCGAGGGTACAGGAAGCAAAAATTTTCCAAGTGGGTCACTAGGGAGGTTAGCGAGTGGAATCATTCCCACTTCCACCCCTTGATTCCTGGACCCATGAATCCTGGCTATAGGAGAAACTGTACCATATATTGGATGCTGATTCAAAGCATACACTGTGTTCTGGAGGACCCTGCCCCAGCCCTCCAGGCTATTGCCACCTAATTGGCTTTGTAACTGTGTCTTTAAGAGGCCATTCCATAGTTCTATCAAGCCAGCTGTTTCAGGATGGTGGGGAACATGGTAAGACCAGTGGATTCCATGACCATGGGCCCACTATTGCACTTCTTTGGCTGTGAAGTGAGTTCCCTGGTCAGAAGCGATGCTGTGCGGAATACCATGATGGTGGATAAGGCATTCTGTACGTCCCTGGATGGTAGTTTTGGCAGAAGCATTACATGCAGGAAAGGCAAATCCATAACCAGAATAAGTGTCTATTCCTGTAAGAAAAAAACGCTGTCCCCTCCAAGATGGAAGTGGTTCAATGTAGTCAACCTGCCACCAGGTTGCAGGCTGGTCGTCATGGGGAAGAGTGCCATATGCTCAGTGTTGGTCTCTGCTGTTGGCAGATCTGGCACTCAGCAGCAGCTGTAGCCAGGTCAGCTTTTGTGAGTGGGAGTCCATGCTGTCGAGCCCATGCATAACCTCCATCTCTGCCACCATGGCCACTTTGTTCATAGGCCCATTGAGCAATGACAGGGATAGCTGAAGAAAGAGGCTGACAATCCACAGAATGGGTCATCCAATCTACTTGATTATTGAACTCATCTTCCGCTGAAACCACCTTTTGATGAGCATTTACATGAGATACAAGTATGTTCACATCCTTTGCCCATTTGGAGAGATCTATCCACATACTTCTTCCCCAAAGTCTTTCTCACCAATTTTCCAATCATGCTCCTTCCAAGTCCCTGATCATCCAGCCAAACCATTGGCTACAGCCCATGAATCAGTACACAATAGCATTTCTGGCCATTTCTCCTTCCAAGCAAAATGCTTGACCATGTGCACTGCTGGAAGTTCTGCCCACTGTGAAGACTTTTCTTCCCCAGTGTCCTTCAGGGTTGTTCCAGAAATGGGCTGTAATGCCTCAGATGCCCATTTCTGAGTGGTGCCTGCATAGTATGCAGAACCATCTATAAACCAAGCCCTAGTCTTCTCTTCCTCAGTCAACCGATCATAGGGCACACCCCATGAAGCCATAGGTGCATGCTTGAGAACAGGAGGCATTGTAACAGGAGTAGGAACCACAGGCATTTGGGCAACTTTTAACTTGCTTGTACCCTTCGGACCTGCTCGGGCCTGATCATGTATATACCACTTCCATTTGATAATGGATTGTTGCTGTGCATGGCCTACTTTATGGCTTGGGGGGTCAGATAACACCCAGCTCATGATGGGCAGCTCTGGTCGCATGGTGACTTGGTGGCCCATTGTCAAACGTTCAGTTTCCACTAAGGCCCAATAGCAGGCTAAGAGCTGTCTCTCAAAGGGAGAATAGTTGTCCACAGATGAAGGCAAAGCCTTACTCCAAAATCCCAATGTCCTCTGCTGTGATTCCCCTATGGGGGTCTGCCAGAAACTCCAAACAGCATCTTTATCTGCCACTGATACCTCAAGCACCATCGAATCTGCTGGATCATATGGCCCAAGGGGCAGAGCAGCTTGTACAGTTGCCTGGACTTGTTGAAGGGCCCTTTCCTGTTCCAGGCCCCACTCAAAGGTATCTGCCTCCCAAATCACTTGATATATGGGTGATAATAACATGCCCAGATGAGGAATGTTCTGCCTCCAGAATCCAAACAGGCCTACTAAGTGTTGTGCTTCTTTCTTGGTGAAGGAAGGAGCCAAGTGCAAAAACTTATTCTTCACCTTAGAAGGAATCTCTCTGCATGCTCCACATCACTGAACTAGAAATTTCACT